TGCTTCTGGACTCGATCAAAAGACAAGTGACGTCAATAGCAGTCTTGCCATTTACTTCAATGAACCTGGGTGTGGGTTCTGTGTATTAAGCTGTTTGTACAAAAAAAAACAAAAAAAAAAACACCCACCCCCAAAACAACAGCAGGCTTTTATTCAGGGGTTGAGGAAGTCTCTGTGGGTAAAGTAAACAAGAACTCTTGCCTCTTGCAAAACAGTTTCTGCAAACCACAGGATGTGGACAGAGTTGTCCTCTTTCTAGCTCTATCGTCGTATTCTCTGTGCATACATTGAAAGCACATCCAATGTGCATTTGAAGCACACGACGTCTCCTAAAGAATAATAGGAACCCTATTTTCCCTACACAGAGGTCCAAGTCCCTACATCCAGATTCTTTGAGGGTAGCCATGTGCTTTGAAATGTGAATTGGATGTGCTTAAATGTATGGTGGGGATCTGACCTTAATTTCACTGAAGTGCATGAAAGCTACCTGGTTTGCTTTCACTTGGCTCCCAGGAGGATCTCAACAGCATGCTCCAGCAAATGTTTACTCAGAAGTAAACCAGAACACATTTAATGGGAATTACCAAGGAGGACATTTAAAATGGACAGACCCAGGAATTCTTTATTAAAGATATTTCAGAGATTCCAAAATAGTGATGGATTAGGTTCCCCAGGCACAATGTGGAATGGGTTTGGCTAATGTGGGTCATTTTGCATACACTGTTGAGTACTTTCCAGAGTTCAAATTAATAATAATAATAATAATAATAATAATAATAATAATAATAATAATAAAATTTATTTATATCCCACCCTCCCCAGCCGAAGCCGGGCTCAGGGCGGCTAACAACAATAAAACAGTACAAAAGTACAGCATAAACAACATTCTAAAATCATTCATTATAAAATTAATTAATTCAAGCCACTGGCAACCATTGGGCCAGAGCTCCGCAAAGATTGCCGAGGGAGGGAGTCAGGCTGTGCCCTGGCCAAAGGCCTGGTGGAACAGCTCTGTCTTGCAGGCCCTGCGGAAAGATGTCAAGTCCCGCAGGGCCCTGGTCTCTTGTGACAGAGTGTTCCACCAGATCGGAGCCACAGCCGGAAAAGCCCTGGCTCTAGTTGAGGCCAGCCTAACTTCTCTGTGGCCTGGGACCTTCAAGATGTTTTTATTTGAAGACCGTAAGTTTCTCTGTGGGGCATACCAGGAGAGGCGGTCCCGTAGGTACGGGAGATGGATGGGCCCATTAAAGTCCAGCCCACCCCCATTTTCAGGAAGATTTGAACTAAATCCATCCTGTTCCATTTCCAGGTGGATATTTACAGGGAAATCCTTAGAAATCTGCTCAGAAACACATTTAGAATAAACATTTGCTCTAAGTGGTCAACTTACGTGGTGCTCTAAGGGGTTGTGTGCCATCTCTGTTCCCTTGCCCCAAATGGTTTGCTTTAAAACTGTGTATCCTGAGCTGCTAGCATGACACATGGTGCTCCAGTGCACGGTTTCAGTGTGCGTGGCAGAAGTCCCCCAGGAGTGACAGGACATGACAGCATTCCCTCTACGCGTCTTGGAAACACATATCAGCAAGGAGCCCCCAACACAGACTTTTCAACCTGAGGTTGGCTAGATACAGATATTTATTCTTTTTGTAATCTGCTCTGAGGTTTTGTTTTGTTTGTTTTTACAGTCAAGCAGTACCTATTTTTTTATGACATTCAGGGGCCAATGAACCTTAAAAAAGAAAAGAGGAAGGAGGTTTCACCATCAAAGTAGAGGCACCAGCAGCATCTCTCTCTCTCTCTCTCTCTCTCTCTCTCTTCCCTTATTTACGTAACTGTAATATTCTCAGCTGTTTCATGCAGCAGAAATAGCAAGAATCTGCAGTCACCATATCCTTCCATCACCCCAAATTTTGAATGAAAGTATTTCATGATGGAGTGTCTTTCCAGATGCATGGCAGAGGCAGGGTGGAGAGATAGTGACTCCCCCTGGCCAGTGCCTTGCCTGCTCTTATATTCCGGGCCCAGGTGTAGGAAGCAGCACAGGACAGGCCAAAGAAGAAATTGGTATTGGGTTAAAATAGTCCACAAAATTTATTCATCACAGATGTAAGTTATGGCAAAGGCCTTGGGTATGTATCTGGAATCAACCAGTAGGCTGGGTCGACCAGCATCAAATCAGGGTGATCCTATCAGGACTGCTGTTTGGATGGATGCTATGGCCCATTAGCCCCCCTGTGGGCTTCAGGACAGAAACACAACTTCCTGGACCCCTTTAGTGGGGTACCTAAGGATCCAACCCAATGCCTTATCTGCCAAGAAGCTGTGGTGATTGCTACGAGGCAGGTGAAAATTTTCCAGCAGGCCCAAATTGTCTGCAGTAAAAATTCCTCACTGGCCCCCAATACAGCAACTGAGTATTCAAGGTGTGCTTATAAAAACCAAACATATCAGTGGCCATCCAAAACAAAAAGGAGCCTGCACCCATATTGTACCATCAACCCCGGCTGAGTTAGCATGACAGTGATGAGTGGTATAGGCCTTTGTGAAACTTGGTGAAATACATGATTTATGAGGGCAGCCCAGTTAAAATGGAATGTCAATCGAATTCATTTGTTAATACAATTTCATGTACATGTAGAAAAATGACAAAAACATAATCAAGTGTCAGAAAGTCAGGGTAAAACAATATGCATCAAGAAATGTAACCAGGTAGAAGAGATCTCCTGTCTTTAACTTCACTGTCATTTAAACAGGGGAGAAAAGGCATGGCCTGAATGATAATAATAAAAACTCAGTTTGACATAGATGTGCAGTACGGGCATCCCCCCGCTTACGTGGGGGTTACATTCCAGGCCCCACAAGCATAAGCAAAAATCGCATAAATGGGGAGCACCCTCTAAACACATTTTAAGCACCCCCTCTGCCACTCTCTCTCCAATCTGGACGAAAAATACTGTATCCAAAAATGTCAACAACTAGAAGAATTAAAGCTCTGGGGCTGGCAGGAGACTGGAGGATCCGTGTAAAAGCGGGCAGCTGCTGCGGCAACGTCAGGGCAGTGCAAACACACCAGCAGAGCCGGTGCAATGCTTGTGCACACCTCACCACCACCTTGTGCTTCCTCCTTCAGACCCAGTATGCAGCAGCAACGCAGGCAGCTGGAGTTCAGCTGAGAGCCACTGCTTTACCCAGCTGCCACCCCCCCTCCCTGCTCTCCAGAAACCCACTGGATCATTTCAGCACCAGCTGAAAACCTTTTAGCTCCCCCAGGCTTTTTTAATACCTCTGTGTCTATGGATCTATTGTGTTGTTGTTTTTTAGTTGTTAATAGTTTTTATTGTTTTCAGCATTGTATTTTAATTGTTGTATTTGTTGTCTGAGCCACTCAGAGAAGTTCTCTGCCATGGGGGCAGCTATGGGGTTAAACTAAATAAATGCCAGCCAAGCTCAGATTTCTTTGTGATGTATGTGCACAATAGAAAGGATGAAGTATTCTGTGTCAGAGGCAGGACCAGTGCCATAGGACCAGTTATTCTCCACACAGTCTGCTAAGAGGAGTTGTGGCCAGTGTGGTGGCGTGAGTGGGGTGCCCTAGATCTCCTAGCTTCCCAACACTGTAGGTCGCCACCACTTACCAAGAAGAGAAGGGGTGAGGTGCAGGAAGCTCAGTGTGGAGCAGTGCATAGCAGTGGAGCTAGTCTGATGCTCCTGTGACCATGTGCTGCATCCATTTTTTAGATGCTGCTGCCCTTTCTCTACCACTAAACACACAAATTTGCACTGAACTATTCAACTAGAATGTGGGACATGGTTGGCGCTGTGGGTTAAACCACAGAGCCTGGGACTTGCCAATCAGAAGGTTGGCGGTTCAAATCCCAGCGACGGGGTGAGCTCCCGTTGCTTGGTCCCTGCTCCTGCCCACCTAGCAGTTCGAAAGCATGTCCAAGTGCAAGTAGATAAATAGGTACCGCTCCAGCAGGAAGGTAAACAGCGTTTCCGTGCACTGCTCTGGTTCGCCAGAAGCAGCTTAGTCATGCTGGCCACAGCAGCTATACGCTGGAAGCTGTACGCCGGCTCCCTCGGCCAATAAAGCGAGATGAGTGCCACAACCCCAGAGTCAGTCACGATTGGACCTAATGGTCAGGGGTCCCCTTTACCTTTACCTTATTCAACTAGAAGGTACCCGATTACAATATCCATAGATAACTGTATCCCATAGGTGTTCAAATGTTCAATGGAACATTTAGTCTGAGGCACTCTGACAACAATCCGCCCATCTGGGTTTTCAGGCTTCTAGCATTAGCAAATAAACACCTATATGATTTTAAAGGCTCTTTTTTCTGTGTCCAATTATTTTTTTTAGAAGAGAGAAAGGATGGATAGATATAGATGTCCAAGCAGAACAACAGCATGAAAACTTTTCAAGTACTTTTTCTCGGCAGACATGCAGGTTTTTGTTAGCTCCAAGGGTGAGTAATATGAGAAGTAATTAGTGTGATAACACATTAGCATAATGTTCCATATGGTGTTATTCTTGCATTTGAACATGACAATTATACTTCAATAAATTAAGTGTGGCTGGTCTGCCTTCCTCACCCAGCATGAAAATGCTGAAAATCTATTACAATTGAACTCACTGAAGTTCTATTGCAGATTGCAGATTGTGGCTTTTGGTTGTTGTAGTAATTTCAATAACGTTTGGAAGCCTATTATAGACACACTCATTTGAGGATTAAACTACTGTGTTTGCATGCTCTGAGAATTATAGCTCAGCACCTCTAACAAATGACAGCTCCCCGAATTCTTTGGGGGAAGGCATGATTGTGTAAAGTGTTGTGATAGGGCCACAGTTGCAGCAATAATCAAATTAACAGATCCATTAACTTCCTTGACTTTCTCAAGAATGGCACGTGATATCATTGGATCCCTTCTCTTCCCCAGCCTTTGCTGTCACCACAAAGCTGATTCTAATGATGGATTTGGTAATTTCTTCCTTTCCAGGTGGCTTGGGACCTCAGCTAAAGTCTCAACATGATGATACATTCTTTTCCCCAGAATGCTTTCTCATTTGTCAGTGGCTGCAAGGCGTCTTATTAATCTAGAGCAGAGATGTTGGTAGAAACATCAAAGCTGGAAGACTTTTAGAGTGACACATTGAAAGGTAAAAGAGAAGGTTTTATTTGCCAGGCCTGCTTAGAGGAGCAGAAGTTTGCCTCTGCCAGCATGCCCTTGAACCACCCCAGGCATACCCTCTTTGGAGCCCTAGTGATGTCAAAACTCTGGAGTCTGTTAGGCAAGGGATATGTAAGTTGCTGCAATGGCAGGAACAAGGGGTCCAACATTGGATGTCCTTCTCTGATGTCAGAGAAGAACCTCTGATCCACCCTATCAGCCCCCCCCAAGTGTCCCCAGTCCCTATCCTCTAGGGACAGTCACAGATTTACAGAAGCCATCTTGGTTTCTGATTTGATCCTGGGATATCCCCATTTTTATTTATTTTTATTTTATTTTATTTTTAAATTGCATTTATATACCGCCCTATACCTGGAGGTCTCAGGGCAGTTCACAGAAAAGATTACAATATATAAAGTCAAAATAAGAACAACGACCCAATAACACACACCCCCCTCAGAAAAGAGCCACATTTTAAAAGGGTATAGGATGTCGGATGTCAATCCGGTCAACCAAAGGCCTGGTTAAAAAGGAACTTTTTCGCCTGGTGCCTAAAGGTGTATAATGAAGGCTCCAGGCCAATTTCTCTGGGAAAGAAGTTCCTTAAGAACTTTTCCTCAAGACGACCCTATTTTCATCAGAAAAATGTTGGAGGGTAGGTCATATGGTCCCTGAGACACCTTCTAAGGGGCCACTAGACTGTAGCATCTCCTTTTACAGTTAGAAATTCTTGCAGGTTGCCAGTAATGACCAAGTTTTACCAAATAACACAACACAGGGAAAGAATGCCTTTTCTCCCAGGCTGAAGACATTGCTGTTTCATAAACTGAAATCAGCTAAGCTACGGAGAATTTAGAATATTTCCTTTATATGAAGAACACAATGTATTTTCCTCATGAAAACTCACTTAATTAACATGCTTATGAATATGTTAGATGAAACAGGACTGCATTTATGCAGACATCACTGAGAATCACGCATCTTTTACAAGGCCTGTCATGACTCTGTTTTCGCACTCGGCTCACATGCTTCAGCGCGTCTTTAAATTATCTAGGGCACGTCACATGACACCTAAGTGTGAAACAAGCATTTTCTCCTCCCAGTACCATTATTTTCATTTTCAAAACACTAATTTGCAACAAATGGCAGGAGCGGAAAAGATGTGCAGCATCATGAGGTTTTGGCTCAGGCATTTTAATTTGGAAAGTGAGTTGAGAATAATGTTCGATGAGCTCTCATCATCCAAAGCGCTAGTAAAAGCTGTACAATGAGGAATTTTAAAAAAACCTAAAAATTAAAAAGAAAGATGGCATGGGTATAATTTGCACAGAGAGACGTTTGTTTGCATGTAGTCCTCCTAACTAAAGCTATCATTAACCTATACATTTATTAAGTGCCACTGCCTAAGGATGCCATTCAGTATTTGTAAGCAAATGTGGGGGTAATATGTACACAAGATCTATGAAAATAATAGCTCATAGCCAGAGATGAAAGGACACCATGACAGTCATGGAAAATTGAAACAAGGTCTAAACCTCTTCAGGGCATGTTATTGATATTTTGTAAGGGTTACATAAAGGGAAGCATGAAAGAGAAGTGTGGGAAAAGAGAATCCTAAATTGATATGGAACAATAAACCCTTTGGAAGGCAATAGAAGCTGCAGTTTGGATACGGCACAGACAATATGATCTATAGTAATTCAGTAATTAGATACATGAAAGCAAGAGAGGCCCATATAATTACATTTTGGAGGCAGTGAGGAAAACAATTGTTTGTCAGGGCTGATAGAGATTTTCATTGTCTCTCAATTACATAACTGTTTCTCATTTTTATTTCTGCAGCCTTGTAGCTCCTGAGTTATGAAGCCAAAGGAGCAGCTCTTGTCTACAGGGCTCAAAATTAAAGGACTCTGGTGAATAAACACTTCGGAAAGCAAGGAGAGAGAAAGAGCAGGAGAGATAATTTCCAGACTTTACTTGCAACATCAATGCCAGTGGGATAAATTTAACTAGAAATAATAACAGCAAAGCATTGTTTGGAAATCTCTAAATATATGAAAGTAAATATATGAACTGATTTGCCACCATCTCAACATCATAGCCAGGTAAGGAGAAGTAAGAATCCCAAGGGATCTATGAATCATTCATGCCCCCTACTCCCAAGGAGGTGCCTTTGAAGATTATTTAGAATGGGGTGATTATTCAAAGTAAAGCACTGCTTGCGTTAGAGCATGGGTAGGCAAACTAAGGCCTGGGGGCTGGATCCGGCCCAATTGCCTTCTAAATCTGGCCTGCGGACGGTCCAGGAATCAGTGTGTTTTTACTTGAGTAGAATGTGTCCCTTTATTTAAAATGCATCTCTGGGTTATTTGTGGGGCGTGCCCAGTGTTTTTACACGAGTAGAATGTGTGCTTTTATTTAAAATGCATTTCTGGGTTATTTGTGGAGCATAGGAATTCGTTCATTCCCCCCCCCAAAAAAATATATAGTCCAGCCCCCCACAAGGTCTGAGGGACAGTGGACCGGCCCCCTGCTGAAAAAGTTTGCTTAGAGTGTCCACTTTAAAGTGAAAACAGCCACCCTCTCTGAAGGCCCAACTCTGTGCTCCTTGCCACTCCTTAATATTTTCCCTTCCCAACGCCAAAAACATAGTGCGGGGGATAGCATGTGTTAGAACCACAGAATCATAAAGTTGAAAAGAATCCCGAGGATCCTCTATTCTAACCCCCATGCAATGCAGGGATCTCCACAGCACAAGGGAGACTTCAAAGGACCACACTTTGGCTGCAATTCATGCATAGCTTTGACTTCATTTTCTGCCAGAAATCACAGTGGTTGTCAGGCTCTCTGGTGGAAATGATAATCCATGCATCAGTTGAAGGCAGTTCAGTGGGACTCTCCTGCATTGAGGAAGACTCAAGCCCCACAGGAAGGTGCTTTAGTCTTCAGGGCTAGCAGCCCAGAAAGAGTGGCCACAGCAAAAGAAGAAGAAAAAGGCATTTACAAAAGCATATAAATCATTCAGGGACTTCTTAATACATACTTAAAACAGTGAGGCAGAGCTATGTGATAATAAGATTGTACCATCAGAGAAATGCACTAACAAATCAATCCTAAATCTCTGGCCATGCTCTTTTTACCGCAGCTGGTGCTCACAAGGAATAAATTGTTTTTATTCCAGCAGTGTGTATTTTGAGAAAGGTGATGCTATCAGTATGATAAAAATTACTGGATACAACTTGTCTAGAGCTGCTGCAGTTGTCTGACTCAGCTTTGGAGGAGAAATAAACTCCAAAAAAAGAGAATCCTCTCAAAATAACCTCCCCACTTCCCCTTCTGCCCACTACAAAAATTCTATGACCAATACAGCAAGAAAAATCCTTGTAAGACAGTGGCAATTGGCAATTATACCAGCTGTCAAAAGCTCCCTTCAGACATAGCACTAAGCCATGGCCTAGTAGTCTGAGAACAAGCCTAGCTTCCTCATACATGTACATGCATCCTGTCCCTTCTCCAGGGTGGCTGTGAGGAGTTCAGAAGCTTAGTGTGTTGTGCATATCATAAACCGTGGTTAAGTGTGGCTAATGAAAACAAGCCAGTTTATAAACTATGGTTTGAAGTTGGCTGGTTTTCACTAACTGTAGTAGTTTCTCTGGTTTCAGACAACATGGCAAGTTCCAGTTTTTGTTTTGTTTTGTTGTTTTTAATGGAAGTGTGCCAGCTTATGAGGGGGACATGAGCCAGGGGCAGTGGGTAGCCTAGCTCACATAACATTGCACATAATGGTTTAGCGTTCTATCTGGACCAACCCACAAAGTAGCTTCATAAGTTGTAGGATGTTTCCATTATGACAAAGATAATAGCATACAAATGAATTAAGGGAGGGAACATAGAAAATTGAAAAGAGGAAAAGCAAACAAATGCAGCATTGTTGTACCAAGGCTAGTCCATCATTTGCGCCAAATGTGTCACTCGTTATTTGTATGGTATCCTCTTTATTAGCCTCTCCATTAAACGGATAATGAAAATCAGGTGCCAATGTGAACCTGCATTTATCTCAGATATGTCCTCTGCTGAGCAGTTAGGGTGACTTTTTGGTAATTAGTTTTGATCTGTGATTTGAGGTCTGTTACATATGCGAAACAGTTTCAACAGGCAGTCATAGAAGCAGTTAAGTAGCATTGCAGCAGGAGCATATGGGTGAATTAAGTCTCTGTGAGAAAACCTGGAATCAATACTATCAGCCAGAAACATGTTGTGTCCTGTATTTCTTTCATTATCTCCAAATTGTGCTTTATGAACCCTGTGTGGCGAGATGGGAGGTCTGGGGGGCGGGCGAAGGAGAATCATTCTGATGAGACAGGGAAGGAGGACAGAGAGAATTCTGCCAATATCTTTTTTTAAAGAGCAAGGAGCAATAGTTCCCTTTTTATCTTATGAATTTTGTTGGTAGGGATGAAAGACCTTGCTGGCCCCATAATGAATAAGATTTCAGCATATGTTTGGCAGAAGATGGGGTGGGGGTGGGGATCCTAGATAAAATACATATTTCAGTTCCTCTTTAGGCAGCAAAAAAATAAAACTTTCCAGAAGACGTCAAATGTTTGCCTTGAATTTATTTGATTTCAAAATAAAAATAAAATAGCTCCCACCACCCAAATTCAAAACAATCATTGAAGACCTCCTTCCTGTCAGCCTCTCCTCCATTGCTCTGAAGCTTCTGTGTGTCAATTCACATTTTGGGCTTGGGATGTGATTCCCAGTCAGCTGTAGCACTTTGGGGTCATTGTGAAACTCCTGGTATGCCTTTCAGGGTCAGCCTATTGCATTTTTCTGCCTGAGCAAAGGATAAGATGGCTCTCATTCCATACAGAAGCCCACTAGCCTGCCAGTTGCATCATACCCAGCATGGTCAGAGTGTTAGACTAAGACAGGGTATCTCAAACTTGGGTCTCCGGCTGTTTTTGGACTACAATTTCCATCATCCATGACCACTGGTCCTGTTAGCTAAGGATGATGGGAGTTGTAGTCCAACAACAGCTGGAGACCCAAGTTTGGGAAACCCTGAACTAGGAGTCCAGGGTTCAAATCCCCAGTCAACCATAAAGCTCACTGAGTGATCTTGGGCTAGTTGCTGCCTCTCGGCTGAACCTACCTTACAGGGTAGGTAGTGAGGATAAAATGGGGAGTGTGGAAGAACCATATACATCACTTTGAACCCCTTGGAAAATTTAGCAGCAGCAGTAGTAGTAATGTTCTGGTGCCACAGGCCTGTATCCCCCACCACACCTGAGGGAAGCAGATTAGCCGCGCAGAACAGGCCATGTGGCCCACAAAGCTTTGTACCCCAACACCTGAGGTGGACGCTTCATTCCTGCTGAATAATAGGGCCGGGTCAGATTCCACAGCTATTTCCCACTCATTCCCTTAAGTGCCTTGGGATTCTACTGCTTAGCTCATAACTGGTATTCTCACTAGACTTTACACTTGCAATCCACGGAGGTAGCAATAGTTGCTGAGGCCTGAGCCAAAGTTTGTGTCCCTGCATGATGCAGAAGCCATTATCCATAAGGAAATAGCGGGAAGGCTTTGCCAGGGAATATACACGCCCACACAAAAGTTGATTCACACAGATCCTTCTTCCTTTCAAAACTAAGTTCTGGTTTTCATCTGCTTTTCTGTACTTTTCTGAAATCTGGCCATCATATGGTCCCGAGGAAAATATAGTGCAGGAAATGGCTTTTGAAATCAATTAACTACTAGGCCTGAAAACATTCAATATGCTTTCAAAGGGAAATCTCTCAATTTGCTAATCCCACAAAAGAACAAGAACTGGCTAACAATCCCTTGTCTGTACTCATACGCTGCAACATTCTACTGTCCAGAATTGTTAATTGTACACATTTTATACTATGAAAGTCACAAGAGAACCAAGGATACCAAAACTACTGAGTTAATGCCTCAATGTTTATAGACTTTCCCTCTCCATGAAGCAGCACAGAATCCTAGGACTGGGCTGGACGGAAAAGTAATCCAATTGCAAGCCCTTGGAAGGTGATCAGGGTTGTAATTTGGCGAATGGACACACCACTGTTTTTTTATGCTAGATCAACACTCCCAAAAGGGGAGTGGTGATCTAGCATTGTTTCTTACAGGAACAGTGCCTATTTACCAGAAACAGGTAAGACAATATTCAGTGTCCAATCATTCAACTGTTTTTTGCAGGGAAAATTGTATAAGCAAAGGAATATAGAGCTGAAAATAACTGATTCAACTCTAAACCATACAAAGCTGAAGAAATAATGAGCCACTGTCAAAATTGTAATTGTGCAGGGTATTTCATAACATGAAACTGTCTCATCCATTCAAATTGATGACCAGTTCAGGCTATAATTAGAAATCACACATGTTCTTTGTTGCACATGAATGTGCTGTGTGCTATGTTAATCTCTTTTGCTTTGCTTAACCACACAGTGACCAACTGATGTACAATCACAGAACAAAGAATGGTTGATTAAGCAGAAAATTCAAGAATCTAGTCTCCAAATTCTGTCTCCAATCCTATGTAATTTTGCTCATAATTACACCTCACTGTGTCTAATAGTGTTTAGCACCCCGTAATTGTGCATAGGATCGGAACCTTCGTCGCTCCCCACTTAACATATTTTTTCATCCATCCATCAAATTGAATTCATTAAATAGCTGTCTACTGCAGAATGGCTTTAGTCACTGAAATAATGATGAATGATCCATGCCAGTCATTTTCTTCTTCGTTGCTAATATTCAGAGCCATCAAGTGGGCTTTTGGTTAAGGCTTTGTGATGTTTTATAAAAGGACACGGTCATTCGCAGCTAATGAATGAGCACTGGAACAATGTGGAAAGATTGAAATGGTGAAGTGATGATTAAAAGTATCTGAGGGTGCTAGAGAAGAAGCAGACTTCAGGGCAGGAGACTGATCAGGAGTGTGTGTGTGTGTGCGTGTGCGTGCGTGT